ATAGACAAGTTGTGTGCATCTCAGATGACACTTGGACTTCTTAGACAACTGGCAGATATCTTATACAGCGTGCAGCCCTTGTAGATGACCTGTGTGTATCTCAAAACAGCATGCAGCCGTCAGACAACATAGAGATGTCTCAGACAACTGGCAGACATCTCATATAGTGTGTAGCTGTCGCAGATTACCTGCTTCTCTAACTACACACAGACATCTAAGACAGTGTGCAGCCGTCGCAGACGATCTGTATCTGTCTCAGACAACACAGGGACATCTAAGATGGCACACAGATGTCTCAGACAACTGGTAGTCATTGTAGGCAAGATGTAGTCGTCAGTGACGACCTATGTGCATCTGAGACAAGATGTGAATGTCTTAGACAACCAGCAGTCATTTCAGGCAAGATGAGGCCGTTATTGACGACCTGCCTGAATCTTAGACGACATGTGGACATCTGAGACAGTGTGTGGCTGCCACAGACAACCTGCTTCTCTAATAACATGCCAACGTCTGAGACTGTGTGTGGTCGTCTCAGATGACACACAGATGTCTCAGATGACCTTAGGTTATTGCAGGCAGGATGAGGCTGTCACTGACAACGGGGACGCCCTGCAGGTCACATCTGCTGGTGACCATGAATGCATTGTGCACCTGCCTGCATCTCAGACAACATGTGGACGTCTGAGACAGCATGCCGCTACCACAAACGACCTGCTTGTCTAATGACACACAGAACTTTGAGACGGTGTACAGCTGTTGCAGATGACCTGATGCTTTAATGGCACACAGACGTCCAAGACAGTGTATGGCCGCCACAGACGACCTGCTTCTCTAATAACACACCGACATCTGAGACCATGTGCGGCCATCTCAAACAACACACAGATGTCTCAGATGACCTTAGGTTATTGCAGGCAGGTCGAGGTTGTCACTGACAACTTACGTGCATCTCAGATGACACGCAGACATCTCAGACACTATGCAGCCATCACAGACAGCCCATATGGGTATTGCAGACAACTGGCAGCTATCACAGGTGACATGCAGCCATCTCAGACAGCTGGTAGTCATCTCAGACGACATGCAGCCCTCTCAGATACTATGCGTCCATCAAAGACAACGGGCAAGGTACTCAGACAACAGATTGAGCATAAGGCTGTCACAGACGACTAGCAGCTATCACAGGCAACATGCGGCCATCACAGACGGCCCACAACTCTAGAGAATGTATCATTAACGCACCTGACCATCCATACAAGGATGTGGACAATAGACACACAGACTCTGCATCACTGACAAAAATCAAGGATGTATCAGAGAGCTAAAAAAAACAAGCGAGAGATATTAGAGGTCTAATATACCATATGACAGTATCAATGAGTGAGATCCGGTGAGTAATATGCATTAAAAGCACTCACAAGCAAAGCTTGGAATGACCGACAAGCAGGGTCTATATCTCAATACACAGCACTAACAAGATCCAAGAAATCATTGACATAACATAGGACACCATCAATAAAGCAAAATGAACCAGTCACAAGTTATAAAAGACTCACAAGCGAAACAAAAACAAAAAGACAACTGACCAGCCGATTCATGACCCCCTAAATATCCCTAGATGCCAGCTATACACATTCCGAAGCATGCGGCCAATGCTATGTAACAAGATCACCATCAGAAAAGTGGTTTAGTGGATATGGAACACGCACTGTTTACATTCCCAGTGCTCAATTTTGAGCCTATGTGTCTTAGTCCCCGTAATTGATGATTGGATCCGTGCTCACATGAAAAACCTCAAAATTTACCCAGTGAATTGTTATTGTCCCCCAGTCTGCTGAACTAATGTAGTACCAACCTAGAGAATACAACAGCGGTCACATCAGCGGTCACAAGAAAGAGCTGATACGAGAACAAGAGCAGTAGCAATGAAGACAACATGACAGCAATAAGTACAAACCATTCTCAAGCTGGACACACTATTTTTGACTCTCCAAGAACACGACAACGTCCCACTCCTCTCAATCTTCCAGGATATGGAGCTCCCACCATAACACACCTTTCGGGGATAACACACCCCATCCCTCACCGTCGTTTCCATATACAACAACTTGCACATGGTCACGGCAGTCAAAATACTTGTGCCCACGCTTGTGGTGGTGGGACAGCTCAGGCCCTTGCTTGCGGCGTGGGTACAATTGATGCTTAGTTGAGCTAGTGAGATCAGTATCACTAACATAATGTAGTCAACAATAAAACTTACTTGATTATGACCTCGCTTGCCCCTACTACTCCCTTTCCCGCCAAGTGCCAAAAAAACTCCAGTACAGTCTGTTCAATATCCCTTTTCTTGTGTAATTGTCTGCTGTATTGCGACGGGTGCGCCCACCAAAGCCAAGGATTGGTGTACAGCTCTTGTGGCCCCTTTTGCGCAGTAATACAACGTTGTATCATCAGTACATTATCGTATAAGATCTAGAGAAAACTTACATCTATAGAAAGAGCCGCCTCGCGTGCTCGTCTCAACATGCAAGTGACAATTAGGTGGTGAGACCTACAGACATTCAAATCAACAAAGACGTCCATCGTTGTTGTGCAACACTGACTGATTCGGCTTCAACACCTACCTTTTGGTGGCTTGTTTGCATTGTACCTTCCACCGCTGCGTTAGACGAATGTCGGATTTGTGTTCAAGAGGTGGTGAAAGGCGAGCAGCTCAGAGGGCTTAAACTGCTCGGTGAGCTTGTGGTAAATGACCTGCTCACCTGAGTCTAGAATTAGTGGTGTCAAGGATGCAGCAGAGTATGAGCACACTGTAATACAAAGAAGCAAAGGTGGTCTACTGCGAGAAATATTGGAAAAGATAATTGCTTGAGCAAGACTTGTGAGGTCTGTTGCATGTCGTTTTGCAATATCGTGCACATTATACCTGAAGTTCTAATATTTTTTTCACACGACGTGTAAATACCTACTAAAATGCATTAGTAAATTTGAAAAGTTGTTTACTTGACATAGGCTGAGGACATACTGTTTCTGCATTAACTTTCATGCCATAGCGCCTTGTCAAAACATGGCTCTGCATCTGAGCCGTCTCATTCCCCGTGCTATGAAACATGGCACCCCTGGCATTTGACACAGTTGCAGGTACACAAGTATACCAGCTGCATACATCATGTTAGCATTGACTGTGTAGTCGTTGCGAGATGGCGCTGCACAGCCTGTTTATGCGCTGTTCCACCTAAAACGTCCCTTGCGTGTGACATGACATCAACTATCTGATCAGAAGGGCCAGTCAAACAGAGAACTCCTGCTTACGAATATTGCTTCAAAAGATTCATCGTCCAAAGCTCCTGTGGGCATCGATCTCGAGAAGCATGCACTGAAGGGTGGGAATGGCACCAGTGAAACACCTTGATCAACCAGACTACGTACCAGCTCTGATTTTTTTGGCTTCAAGTCATGGACAATACCGGTTGCATTGGCATATAGATCCTGATCTGCAACTCTATCCCGATGTGCGTGCATAAAGCAGAGTGTGACAGCCGCAGCATCAATGCTACTACACACCTACAACGGTCAGCCCCATCCTCCCTCTTCTGCAGTCGACTAGGGTTCATACAGTGCAGGCATCCCAGACGACTTGGGTCATGCCTAGATATTGACAGTAAGGCCATAGTCTGTAATATTCTGAATCGAGCATAAAAGACAAAGGAACGCACCTAGCTTGCATCGTTTGAACCCAAAACTCTTTGTCTGGCGTCGGTTTTGCTTGTCAAAAAGATCACCGTCGAGTTGGCCGCCATTGATGACAGTAGTGAGCAGGGGGGTGGGATGGTGGAAAGTTGATACAAGGAAGGCCCAAGGCGCCAGACTTGAGTGACAGGAGTATGACATGTGCACAGATTGGTTCAGAGCATGTGTTCCAGCATGTGCAGAGTCGTCAGAGACGTCTGTGCCCTGTTCAGAAGAGGTTTTACAAATGGTCAACACAGCAATTCACTATTAGAATGACGATAAGAGATGATGCATGCAATAGAAAGGCTGCTCACCATGGACAGGCAGTTGGTTATCGGAGCCTGAGGCGAGTTGTCAGGGACGTCCGCGCACTTTGATCTGGCTCGGCCGCAGATGATTCTAAGCTCTCGCTGAGATTCTGTGCCTGACCCGAGTTGTCTGCGACATCCGCGCTCTGTGAGTCCTGGTTGACTGCAGAAGAGCATGGGCTCTCTTACCCTGGTTTTACACCAAGACATCTGAGTTGTCGGTGCCCTGTGTGTGAGAGGAGGAAGAGGAGGAGGAGGAGGAGGAGGTTGAGAGCGGTGGGAAGCCTGACCCGAGTCAGCTGCGATGTCGATACCCTGTCGGCCTGACCCTAGTCATCTGCGATGTCGTCTACCTGTGAAATGTGGGTGACCGCAGAAGAGTGTGAGCTGATATATGGGTTGAGCAACAAGTTGTCTAAGATGCCCTTACCCTGTAAGCCTGAGCCGTCTGCGACGTGCGTGCCCTGTAGACCTGACCCTAGTTGTCTGCGACGGCAGCTCTCTGAACTGTGGGTGATAAAAGAACAGTGTGAGCTGACACTTTGGTTGAACAACAAGTCGTCTGAGACGTCCTTCCCTGTAAGCCTCACCCGAGTTGTTTGCGATGTCCACACTCTGTGGGCCTGACCCTAGTGGTCTGCAACATTGACTCTCTGTGAATAGTAGGTGAGCGCAGAAGAGTGTAAGCTAATACATGGGTCGAGGAACAAGTCATCTCAGACGTCCTTACCCGGTAAGCCAGACCCGAGGCATATGCAATGTCCTGACCCAAGTCATCTGTGACGTCCTGACCCGAGTCATCTGCAATGTCCTGACCCGAGTCGTCTGCAACGTCCTAACCCAAGTCGTCTGTGATGTTGCCTCTCTGTGAACCTGCATGATGGCAGAACAGATGAGCAAACATTTGGTTGAGCAACAAGTTGTCTGTGACATCCTTACCCAGGAAGCCAGATCCGAGTTGTCTGCGACGTCCTGACCCAAGTCATCTGCGACGTCTTCACCCGAGTCGTCTGCGACATCCTGACCCGAGTCATCTGCGATGTCCTGACCCGAGGCATCTGCGACGTCTTCACCCGAGTCGTCTGCAACGTCTTGACCCAAGTCGTCTGCAACATCACCTCTCTGTGAACCTGCGTGATGGCAGAACAGGTGAGCAAACATTTGGTTGAGCAACAAGTCGTCTGTGATGTCCTTACCCAGGAAGCCAGATCTGAGGCGTCTGCGATGTCCTGACCCGAGGTGTCTTCGACGTCCTGACCCGAGGCGTCTGCGACGTCGCCTCTCTGTGAACCCTGCGTGATGACAGAACAGATGAGCAAACATTTGGTTGAGCAGCAAGTCGTCTGTGACGTCCTTACCCAGGAAGCCAGATCCAAGATGTCTGTAACGTCCTGACCCGAGTCATCTGCGACGTCCTGACCCGAGGCGTCTGCGACGTCTTCACCCAAGTCGTCTGCAATGTCCTGACCTGAGGCGTCTGCGACGTCTTCACCCGAGTTGTCTGCAACGTCTTGACCCGAGTTGTCTGCAACGTCACCTCTCTGTGAACCCTGCGTGATGGCAGAACAGGTGAGCAAACATTTGGTTCAACAACAAGTCGTCTGTGACGCCCTTACCCTGTAAGTCTAACCTGAGTCGCCCGCGTCATCCTTGTAGTGCTGAATACAACGACTTATAGTCAAGTGATAATCTATTCTAACGCCTATTCCTAATCTTACAAAATAAAAGTATTGTATTATGTTCGTCTCTTCATTATAGAGCAAATTTGTGGGGACCCACTATCAAAGTCAAAATTGGTTCATCATGCACAGCTCTCGAAGACACAACTGTACCGCCACTGCACTGGGACGGTCGAACCTTTGAACATGGAAGAATTTACCTCAAGGCTGATAGGGCTGATTTTCATACATTTGGATCCTTATCCGCAATCATTGATGCTAGCTGAGGGCATGCTGCTGTCACGATACTGCGACCGTAATGTCATGATATTATGATCGTATCGTCACACTACAATGTTCGTTAGGTTGCTGCGACAGTTGAGTGATCGTCTTAGGTTGCTATAAGCCTGACCCAGGTCTTCTGCGAGGTCGGTGCTCTGTCAATTGTTTTGTGAGATAAGACACTCGATTTCCAACAAGACCCTTACCCAGACCTATTACTCGTAGTAGAGCAGAGGCGGGCCCTAGTCATCTGCGACGTGAAGACAAGTCTATTGAACTTCCTCCCAACATGCGTCTTGATAACAACACTAAGGAATCCTTGGTTGACTTTATCTATCCTGACATCTCTGATCAGCACCCCAAACCAGACCACTTCTTCCTTGACCATATGATTCTTCCTGGGTGCAATGACACTGTTGCTGAGATCAACAAGGAGATTCTAGCCAAGTTTCCTGGAGAAGACAAGCTCCTGACCAGCATTGACTCTGTCAAGGACATAGAGGGTTATCCTATAGAGTTTTTGAACTCTATCAATATCTCTGGCCTTCCTCTTGCTCACCTCCATGTCAAAAGAGGTTGTCCCCTCATTCTTTTGCACAACATTGATCCCTCTCATGGCCTATGCAATGGCACTTGACTCATCTTACTTGAGGCAAGGACACGTGTCTTAAAATGCCGCATCTTGGGTGGAGCACATGCTGGAAGAATTGTGTTTATCCCTAGATTAACCCTAAAGCCATTTGGAGAAGCCTGCCTTATTCCTTTGAAGCGCAGACAATTCCCTGTCCATGTTGCCTTTGCTATGACCATCAACAAGTCACAAGGACAGTCTGTCAAGTTTGTTGGATTAGATTTGGAGCGGCCTGTATTTTCCCATGGCCAACTTTATGTTGCACTGTTACACTGCACATCAGGAGATAGAATCAAGGTGTTATTCCCACCAGACTCACAAGGGACCAAAACCACCAATATAGTGTATCCTGAGGTATTGCAAGGCATTTTGGATAATCAATAGTATGTCTTGGATCATAATCATTGTGACATGGCTAACAATTATAATAAGACTTGAACAAGGACTGTAGTATAAAACTTATATGGAAACTTCTTACACTTTGACTCTCAATCCCCACTCTAACTTTTTATATGTATGCTTGAAATAAAACTGCTACTCTAACTTGGCTGCTTGACTAAAACCCAACCACAAACTAAGTGCTATAACACAAACATAGATTAAGCACTGTCACACAGCCTCAGACTAAGCACTGCAACAAAAACTTGGATTAAGCATGGTTGCGCTGTCGCAACACAATGGGTGAGAAGCTAGTCCATAAATAGAGGGCAACACTGCAAAATTGTGGTGCTGGGCCGGCGGCTCACGTCGCGTGTCCTCGCTTATGCTTGTGTGGGCCATGTAAGAAACCACGCGAGACCACTGTCCCATAGGCTTTGGGAGGCAAAACGGAGCATGTCGGAGCTTGAAACGGAGTTAGTCAGCGTGCGCGTGCCCAGGGCTAACCTAAGCATAGGGTAATTCTCTTCCCCTGGCACTGTCTTGCAGTGATTTCTCCGGGTGAGGGGGCATTCAGCAAATGCTTAGCCTGGCAACCACTCTGGGCTCTTGGTTTTGTTTGCAGGTATTTTTTATATATAATTAAATAATAAATAAAAGGGGACAATAAGAAATGGTGGCACTGGGCTAATAGCTCAAGTCATATGTCCTTGCTCACACTTATGTAGGCCACATAAGAAACCATGTGAGCAAAGCAAGCATCCATGACAAATGGGGTGAGCAGAGTAAGCCATGTCTTAGTGCTCCCAGCAACCCTAGCAACTAGAGTGGGCTATGCCTCTGCAACCATTGGAGCTTAAAATGGCATCTTAGCACCTCACAGAGAACCTCATGGGGGAGCTTCATAGGGCAGAATCTCATAAGGGAATCTTATGGATAAGACCTTATAGAGAGCTTTATATAGGAAGGACCTTATAGAATGCCATAGAAGAGTTATATAGAGATATTAGGGCATAAGACTTTACGGGCACTGGACTTTATGGGCACTAGACTTTATGGGTGCTGGACTTTATAGTCAGTGCACTCTACAGGCACACGAGACCAAGCACTACAACAAAAACTCAGATTAAGCATGGGCACTGGACTTTACAGGCACTGTACTTTACAGGCACTAGACTTTATAGGCACTGGACTTTGTGAACACTAGACTTTATGGGGACTAGACTTTACAGACACATCAGACCAAGCACTGTAACAAAAACTCAGATTAAGCATGGTTGCGCTGTCGCAATGTGACGGGTGAAAAACTAGTAGAGCATGGAAGCCAAGAGAGGGCACACGCGTGCGTTGCACATGCATTAGCGCTAGTCATGACGAATAGAGTGGATGTACTGGACCAAGTGGTTGGGCTTTGTTGAGAGGCGCTCCGCGGGTTCGGAGACGGACCTGAACTATCTACACCTGTCTCGGAACCGCTGAGACGAGCGTTTTTAGTGTTCAGTCACACTTCATATATGCGCTACACACACTTTGGTGCTTAGTCGGACCTCAAACAGTCGGTGAGTGCGCTTAAGATATGTCTTGCAGGTGTCACGGGCCCCGAGCAATTTGCCTTTTACAATCTGCTGAGCATGTTGCTGGAGGCCCACTTCCGGCGTCTAGGACAGCAGGAAGACATACAGCTATCCATCGAGGCCTGTCGTGCATTTCTGGCAGAGAGTGGAATCCATGACCCGATGATCCAAATGATCGTCTTTTGGCGGCTCTCCAAGGCGCTCGTCGCATATCATGACGCCACCAGGGACGGCGAGATGCTGGACAAGGCAGCGGGCGTCGGTCGTGATGCTGTGAGGCTCTGTGGTGAGGACCATCTGCTGCTGGCTATGATCCTGGCACTGCAGGGCATGATTCTCCGACAGCGCTTCGTCGTACATGAGAATGAGGAGGATTTAAAGGCAGCATAGACACTTGCATGTGTGGCGACCCACAAGGCCTCTGAAGGCGAAGACCAGAACATGATGGACTCCGTGGCAGCCAAACGGATGTGCGCTTTGGTGATGTGGGAGGACGGGGGCAAGGTGGAGGACTTGAGTGCGGCAATTGCGCTCTTTAGAGCAGTGGCAGAAGAAAGGCACGAGACACATCTGGACAGGGCGGAGGCGCTCTTCAGACTTGGAGATGCATTGAAGAGACGGTACCAGCTTGAGGAGGGCAAGGATGATCTCGTCGAAGCCGTCTGCCTCTGTCGAGATGCATTGGAAGCGCAGATGGACACACGGTACCCACGATACCCCTTCTGGGCTGCAGGTTTTGCCGCGTGTCTGCTAGAGGTCGCGAAAAAAGAAGCCAACGCGGACGCGCTCGACAAGGCAGCGGTGTGGGCCAAGCTCGCAGTTTTGCTGACCCCAGAGATGCACCCGGGGTTGGCGGGCGTGATGGTGGCCTGGGGCGATGTTGTATATGCGAGGTATGAATTGTGAGGAGACGTGAATGACCTGGATGAGTGCCTGCACATGTACGCCCAGGCAGTGACCTCGACGACTGCTCTGAGCAGACACTGTCTGCGGTACACTAGGATATGGGAGGCTGTCGCCATGAAACACCGTTGTGCCTCAGATGTCGGTGTTCGACGTGTGCCTGCAGCAACAGCTTCGCATGGTGAATATAGGGTGGTCTGTGCAGGCGCGACACAACATTCTTGCGAAGAGCCCGATTGAAAGCTCCCGCGCGGCTGCACACGCGATTTGAGAGGGGGAGCTGGAGCATGCAATAGAGCTGCTGGAGCATGGCTGGTCCATCGTTTGGCAGCAGACGCTACGGCTTCGGCCGTTAAGGGACAAGTTGCACCAGGTTTTGCCTGCCCTCGCGGGTCGACTGTCCAAGACGATAGGTGAACTCGATGGCATCATGTGCACACAATCTATGACCTATACGTTTGCCACAATCGACAGCATTGGGGATCCTGGTTGCACGGAGCGGCACCACTGCGAGCTCGCGGAGAGGTACGAGGGCTTGCTTGCTGAAGTGAGAAGGCTGGACAGGCTCGGTGAGTTCATGCAATTGATGAGATTTGCAGACCTGGAGGGGATCGCGCACGATGGGCCGGCCGTGGTCGTGAACCTATGTGAAAACCACTGCGACGCGCTCGTGCTGACAGCCGCTTATGGCATCCACTATGTCCCTCTGTCCAACACAGACTTTTGGCAGCTCGAATGCGTGCAAGAAGAGTTGGCGTTTGCTGCGGGGTCTCTGGAGGAAGAACCCGCTGTGGACACCATGCGCACCATGGACTGTGTGCTTTTGAAGACCTTGCGACTTCTCTGGAAGATGATCGCCAAGCCCGTAATTGAAGAGCTACATGCGCTCAATCCCATCGCGGAGTGTCTGTTCTGGTGCATGGCTGGGGCGGCAGACATGCCCATACACACGGCGGGAGCATACAAAGACAGGTGCTTGAATTTGCCCGACATCGTCGTGTCGTCGTACACGCCTAAGCTCGCGGCCCTCCTCCGCGTGAGGAAGTCCGCAGGAGCTGAGTCTGCCAGGATCCTGGCTATGGCCCAGACAAAATGGCCAGGTTTTGTGATCTGCCTTGCACAAAGATGGAGATCGAGGTCCTGCAAGAACAAGAGTCTCTTCCTGTGACCATGCTCGTCGACGGTGCGATCTTGTCAGCCACTGTGCTAGGCAACCTGTAGACGCACAGCTGGGTGCACCTTTGCTGCCACGCGACCGTCGATGCTCAACAGCCGTTGCTGAGCACGTTTTGCCTGGGCCACGTCAGGCATCTGAACATCGAGGCCCTGATGCAGGTGCAGCTGCCGCAGGCAGACTTTGCATACTTGAGCGCATGCCACACGGCGGTGGGGTCTGTCGCGCGGAACGAGTCGATGAGCCTGGCAGCGGCGCTGCAGGTGACCAGGTTCAGGTCGATCGTGGCGAAGATGTATTCTATCGGGGACAATGACGGACCTGTTGCGGCAAGGGAGGTGTACAAGTACATGTTCCGAGACGGTGCCTGGGCTGCACGGTCGTCTAACACGGCCATTGGGGTGCACCAGGCAGCGCACGCACTGCAGTGGTCGGGGGCGCAGCTGTTCCGCTGGGTAAGCGATCCGCAATGTTGGGTGGGAAAGTGACTGACATTTGAGTGCAGGTTCCGTTCATTCATATCGGGCTGTGGTGGATGTACCGGGCTAGAATAAATCATTTTGCAATGCCGACTAAAGGAGCATGGAGGCAAACGCACGTGAAACAACCGTGGTAAGAAAGAGGAATACATACATACACACACATTTTCGGACGGCGGGTCGATGATGGTGTCTTATTTATCGGAGACAGATGGCTGTGTGGGAGGACAGACCTGGACGTGATGTGAGTCATGCTGCGTGTATGTGCCCCGGGGCAGGAAGTGCTAAATATAAGCGTGCGATGACAAACGGGGGCGTGGGAAGGATGGGTGGTGGGGGAGAGAGGGCGCCAGTTGCGTGCGTGGGCTGCGCGTATGGTTAGGACCAGAAGGCAAGGAAGGCATCCTTGAGGAAGAGGTCTTGATCATTATCATGTGTGCCAGGGGAGCATGATGCCCCTGGGCGGGGGTGCTCGGGCGATGAGTGGGCTCACTGGCGTGTGGGTCAGTCAAAAGGGGACACAAGCAGAACTGTGCAAGGGAGACCCACGCGTGAGGGGTACCCAGCCTGTCCGCTGATGAGCGCGCCACCTCTCTAAGCGCCAGGACCCCATTTTTCGCAGTTCTACGAGCACTAGCATGCTGACCTCAGGGGATACCCCAGACACTGCCGGGTGGCCCCGCCGCCCAGAGCAATTCCCTCTGATGCCCACTACGACCTCAGCATTATAGTATCGGGCTGACGCGGTCTTGTCTCACATCCCTCAGTCATCGCCTCGCATCATCTCACTCAGCCCCCACGCGTATCACATGACGACCTCGAGCCTGCTGCACCCGCAAAGACCTCGCCAAGCGCTTGCCATACGCCTCGCAAGCATTGACCGCACGGACCACACCGCGAGCAGCTCCGCGACGTGATATTGCAGAGAGCTTTATCGCGTGCGCTTATTGGGTAGTACAGGTCCCATGATCCATGGCCCCTCCACCTTCCTAGAGTTTACCTCGTCTCACCGCTACATCTCTTTACTAAATATCGCTTTGTCTCGCGACCGTGGCACGACAGAACCTCGCAGTCTGCGAGCACCTCTGCGCGTGGTTTTTCTTTATCTTTCTATGTTACGGTCTTGGCGCGATATCGATTTACTTTACCTTACGAGTTCGCGTTTACTATACTCACTTTGACTTACTATAAATACCTGCCTACGACACTGCAATACACCAGTTTCGAACACCCCTCTGTTTAGAGCTCAACTTCGCACGAAGATCTCGCTCATATCGCATCGTACCGACATCGCACTCGCTCGATTTAGCACTCGTCGCCGCTATTGTCAGGGCCTTCGTCGCTGCCCTTGAAGTTGCCTCGGTCACTCGCGCCTTGGCCCACAGTCCACCACTTCGTTTCACACAAGAGTATTCTCGCGTGACCTTGCATCACCTCGCTAGATATCTCGATATCTTGTAGTATGTATATCGCGCCCCGTCTCGCAACTTACAAGGGTCCCTCAATATTTGTAGTGAAGTCAGCTCCCCGCCTACCCTGTGTTTAGTGGTATGTTTTGTGTTGTGTTTTCGCACGCAGAGCCATCGCAAGCACATCACCGCGCCGTGCTCAATCCCATTTGACAAGGGCAGCTCGAGGACAGGCAAGTCGTCTTGGGCGGCTACCGGCGGCAAAAGAGGGAGCGGGATCTCGAGTGAGATGTTGTCTGCCAAAGGCGCCTCATCCTAGGACGGCAGCGTGCGCGGTGGCTTGGTGTCCAGCATGGACGGCGAGAACGAGTCGCACTTTGCGGATGGAGCGTTGTTGGCCTTAGACGCAAGTGACGCAATGGACTTTGCAGCGACAGGCGGGGTAACCTTGCTGCATGAGAAGATGTGGTGGACCATCTGGGTGAGGCCACCTTGGGCGGCGGTCTGGTTGGTGGGGTCGGTAGACATGAGGAAGACGGTGTAGATGGTGTAGACAGCCTTAAGGAGCAAGAACTGGTGGATGAGGATGGTGGAGGAGAGGGCAAGGGCAAGGGTGAGGGCAAGGGCAAGGGCAAGGGCGAGGAGGGCCTTGACCTGGAGCCTAACCGAGTCAGCAGTAGTCTCAGTGTGGCAGGTGGTGATGGTATGCATGATGAGGTCCACGAACGAGGGCGGGGGGAGGTTGCTCTAGGAGGCGCTCAAGGTGGAGTGGCAGGCGCCTAGGGCTGAGGACAGGGACGGGAGGGACGCGTGTTCGGGAGGGTTGGCTTCAATGAAGGAGCAGAAGATGAGCTTGGAGATGCAGTCAAGGCTGGCGACTACAGGCTTCTCATTGCGGGTCTCACAGGCGAGGCGGAGGGGCTCAAAGATCTCACGGGGGCGGTTGCCGCCCATGCCTGCGCAGACCATCTCGAGGGCGATGTGAAAGCTCTCCCTGAGTGGGGCGGAGCACTTTGCCTTGCAGGAGGCGGCGACGGTGTCGATGGCAGAGGTGATGAGCACGGTGGAGACGGACTTGCCCTTGTAGATAGTCATGGAGCGCTTGTGGGAGGAGGGCAAGATGACAGTGTGGAGGGATGCGGTGGACATGGATGAGGAGAATGCGGTGTGGGTGTCGATCGTGTGCAAGGAGGAGGCGTCAGTGGAGGAGAGCCGGGAGGACAGGGGTGGTGCGCAAGGTAGCTGAGACTGCCCCCGTGCGGGGGCCAGTCTTGCAGCGAGTTCTTGGATGGCAGCATCGGAGAAGGGACTGGCACAAAGAAAGATAACATACCTCATGGATATCCTTGTCATCTGTGCCCTATCTCTTGCCAGCTTGTCTTTCCGCCATAACTGTTCCTCAGTGTTGTTGTTGTTGTTGTTGTTGTTGTTGTTGTTGTTGTTGTTGTTGTCATTGTCAGTATGGTCTTCGTTGTCATCGTCATTGACGCTCAGACAGGCTCAGATGGTCGCAATGCTTTGCGCGTCATCGGGCAGCGTAGGCGTAGGGGCGTTAGTAGAGCAGGATGCCTCTGCAGTGGAGATCGTGGATGGCGCAGGGGAAAGAGACGGCAGTGGGCGTGGGCGCAGGTATTGACGAGGACACAAGAAAGGCCACACTTGTCTCATGGATGTCGCGTGGTATGGTTAGATCGATGGATGCTCTTCAACAAAATTGGATTTGTGTCTAAAGCATTACCCACATTGGCAAACGCACAAGGGCAACCATATCCAAGTCCGGATAAACACATCGTTCCAGATGCTAATTGGGCAGTGTTGTCACAGATCATAAGATGAGAGACGAGGCAGCGCAAAGCGAGAGAGATGAGCGACAAAAAAGACACACAACAAGAAGAGGCAAGAGATGCAAGGAGGGCAGCAGGCGGCATAGTGTGCAGACAAAGGTATTCACCATCAAACAAATAGAGAGAAGATATGGTCAACACGAAGGCAAAATGAGACACACACAGCGACAAAGCAGGCGGCGCAGCAGTGAGGAACATGAGGTCGGGAAAAGGAGGGACAGGATCGCCACTGAGCCAGACATGCACAGGGGTCAAATCATAAAAGAGCTGCGAGAATTTTCTGGTAACTATTCTCCTTTGACATACCATAGCGCTGCCAAGGCGGCGATGCTGAGCATGAGCACGCCCACCGCTGTCGACATCTGTGCTGAATGTTGAACCATCTGTCGACACAGTGCTGTGAGCGAATGCACAAAAATGCAGAGAACAAAGCTCACTGGCGCCAGGTGTGCGCTCTTCAGATTGGCGGCGGTGGCAAACGAGGCGTGTGCAGCGTTATCTTCCGTCATCATTGCCGTCGTGGACCCTGTCGATGCCTTCTGGACCGACGACTTTGAGGTGATGGAATAGTGCTTCAAGGACATGAGCCTTGCATCGTTGCTTGCATGATGCACGTCCAAATCCGAATCATCCTACGCCTAGGGCACATGCGTGCGTGCTTTGGAAGCTGACTGGCGCTTGTCATCGAGCAGTGTCACGCCCTCGAATGAGCTCGCATACCCACCATCATCCTTGTTTGACTCGGCCAAGTGTGAACGCGATTGGCCTCAGGAGATTGTCGATCGTTTCCACCGATGGCGCTCGCCCGAGTCAGATGAGATGTTGCGTGGACTGGGGGGTGTGACGAGCCTGACACCATGGCGCATGTTCCCATTCACCTTGAGTTGGTGTTGCTACAGCGTCGCGAGCCTGGCATCCACCTTCGTGACGGTGCCATCAAACCCCTCCTCGGCAGCCCGCACGCACACCTCCCAATCCTCACGTGCCCTATTGAGCGGTGGCTGCGAACCTGGTGTCGTCATCGGGAGTGGTGATAGAGACGGAAGCATCGAGGCGGCAGCGTGGTCGGGACAGGGCCGCGTCGAGACGGTAAGGTCGAGGCGGTGTCGTCAAGTCGGTGTCGTCAAGTCGGTGTCATCGAGTCGGTGTCGTCGAGTCGGTGTCGTCGAGTCGGTGTCGTCCGAGGCAGCAACTGCGAGCCTGATGTCGTCGCTAGCACCGGCCAGTGCGCAAGGATGCGGATGCGGATAGGGCAGCTGCTGCCTGGTCGAGGAGGGCGGCACGAAGGAGGGCGGTGCGGAGGAGGGCGGTGCTCATGGTGGATATGGGCTTGGAGTGGTCCTGCATGGTGCAGTCTTGGCCGCCAGCGCTGGGCATGGTGTGCCACAACTCAGAGGAGCGGCATGAGGTGGAGGAAGCGGTGGTAGTGGTGGTGTGGGTGGTGGTGGTGGCGACAGTGGAGGAGGCGGAGGAGGTAGAGGGAAGGTGGAGGAGGCGGAGGACGTGTCGGGGTGGTGGACGGCGGTGGTGTTGAGCTGGAGCGAGCAGGCGAGCGTGGTGATGAGCATGGGTATGCTCTAGGCACCAATACCCCACTTTTCGCAGCTTTTCAGTATTCTTTGACTGTTTGGCACACTTAGGACCGACCGATCCCGATCCGTTCGGCGATCTTAGCCATTTTTCAGGTGCCGACTTTCCATTTAGACCTCCGCACAGTCGTTCGGAGCTGTTCACAGTCATCCTATCCATCTATCATCACTCTCAGCAGTAGGGGCTCTCCACAGACTGTCGCGGCCGAT